TGATGACCGAAAGACCCGCATTTCAAACCCCCAGCCACTCTTGGAAACACTAGACAAGGTCGGAACCAGCTCCACAGCACACAACAATAGCGACATTAATTTAAAATAGATGAAGAATTAAGAAACCGTCGTTAGAACAAGTACGTGCATTTAGGGCAGTACTTAACCAATTTCAAAAGGAAAAACATTTCGAGGAATTTGTTTGGCTGTAAGGAAGACGTTTACTACGTGATTGCGTGAGAAACAATACGGCCTGTTGTAAAATGGGATGTGGCTGACCAAACTTATTATAGATGTTGAGCAATTTATAAAGATCACACACCCAGTGTTTACCCAACATGTTGGCTGAGGCAGAATTTATGTGGGATTGGCTGCTGGTGATAAAACCACAATTTCTGGGACCAAAGAGTTGTGCTTCTGAATAGGTTGATGGTTTCTTGCAGCAAAACCCAAAACATATTCTCATTGTCACAGCAGCAGATGTTGGGAATGAAGGCAAAGTAGGAGGCATATATAATGAAAACAATCAAATTTAAGAAGCTCAGCCACACTACAATGTTACAAAAAAAAAAAAAAAAAACCACTCACCTTTTGTGATGCTATTTTACAAAGTGCACTCAGTTAAATGTGAAATGTGTAACTACTAGAAAGTCAGGATTTACAGTAAATAATTTCAAACAAAGAAATAATGCTTAAAGTGGATAAATAATATATGACATCTATAATAAGAGTAGAGAATATATTTCTTTTTAAACCAAATGTGATAATGTAATGTGATACATTATTACATTTGATTTAAATGTGATAGCAATCTCTTGAAAGTAAAGCAACAAAAGGATCTTTTACATAGAACAAAAGAGAATATATAGATCTAGAGATACACCTGGTATGGTGCTATAGGATAAGCACTGGGCTGAAGGGTCAGTTTGAACCACAAGTGCAACAGTTCAAACCCACCACCTGCTTCTTGGAAACACTATACAGGGTCACTATGAGTCAGAACTGGCTAGATGGTACTTAAAAACAATAGCGATACCAAAGGATCAAGCAGCAGCTGCATATATCACTTGAAAAATATAAAGTGTCTAAATGTAGATGTCCTGTTTGAGAAATCATTGCTAAATCTAATTCTATCTCTCTCTGGTTTTTTCCTTACTATATAGCAAATGGCCACAGTGTGGACCTTTGCCCTAAGCCTGGGAGGAAACCCTGTCTAAGGAAAGAACTAAAGGCCGGAAACCTCTTACTTCCATCTTAACATTTTCTCCTCATTCTTCTTCCATATCAGGTCCCAAGGGTAACACAAGGAGAACTAGTTCATTCTAGCCATCTGGGGACCGTCCTACACATCCATAAATCACAACTAAGGATCTCACCTGTTCTGATGCGTGTGGACCAAACTGTATTCACCTGCTGCTGCTGAGCTTCCCAGGGGCTCTGCTTCCAGGCCTAACCCTCTGACTGAGTTGGCTTCTTGGGTTAGAGAGGATTAGATCCCAGAAAGAGGAGCACAGAAATGGTGAGTACTGGAGTGCACTGGGGAGCCTTGGTAGTGTGGTCGGGTAAGGGATGGACTGCTAACCAGGTCAGTGGTTTGAACTCACCAGCCATTCAGTGAGAGAAAGATGAGACTGTCTACTCCCATAAAAATGTACAGCCTTGGAAAACCCTGTGGAGCTGTTTTACAGTCTCTGTGGGTAGGCATCAACTCGGTGGCAGTAGTTTATAGAGTACTAGGTTAGTCTTTTTATTTTCTTTTCAGAAGGAATTGTTTGAGTTTATTACTTTTATTGTTAAGTTTTTATTGGGAATTGAGTGATAGTTTACATGGGAGAACATCAGTTTTACACTCATCCTATCGTATTTCACTTCATTGCAACAATTACAATCCCTTCCATGCATCATCATTCAACAGTATTTGCTTCTATTCTCTCTGTGGTGGTTTCTTTTTTTTTTGATGTACACAAAAGCACTCAGGAATATATAATCATTTAAACATCCAAAGGGCACATTCTGCAAGCCTGCCTCTTGGCCACCAACACACAGCCTTTCTCTTTCTATGAGTCTAGAGTCCTCAGCTGCTCCCTCTCTCCATGTCTTTTTCTCTGTCTCCATGTCTGGTGTCGCTGCGTCTCTGGATAGAGTCCCACATTCCGTTCATGCTCTTCTCCCTTGATGGTCCCAGGGTTAGGTTACTTTTCAAATAAGGGAAACAAGACTAGATATGAAATTTTGGAGGACCCATTGCCATTTGCTGCAGACTGTGTGGATTCTCAGTGAGGTAAAGAGATGGCAGAGAGGAGACTGAGTCCTAGGAAGCCCCCTAAGGCTCCACTGTCACTGGGTCCTTTATCTACACACATGTGGTTGGTTGGTTTTTAATTCTCTGATTAGTTTATCACATCAGATGGCATCATGGGAGATCATCACATAACTGCCACATGACATTATTATTTAACTGAACAACCTCTGAAAATCATGACCCAGCCGGGCTGACTCATATTTTGGGGGAACACAAATCAATCAATGGCATTCCACCCTTTGGCACCCCCAAATTCATGTCCTTGCCAACACATGTGGTTTTTCAAGGCTTGGCTGCTTGGGCCTGCCTGCCGTAGAGGAGGCTGAGCCCCAGGTCCACGTGAGCCATCCTTGTCCCATCACCGTAAGTTACTCTCCTGGCTTCCTTCCGCTGGACCGTAGAGCCTGTTCTCGGCAGCTCTAACCGTACACCTCCACCGCTCACACTGTATGATGGACGAGAGAGTCAGTAAGGGAAGACTGTGACTGTTGATGGGGTGTCCTCATGACCTCTCCACAGGAGTGGTCTACTGTGTTATTTTTCCCCAGCGAGGAATCGTTTTGTCTTCTGGTTGTTTGTGGAGCATGGTTCTCTAGTCTAGGCCCCTGTCCTTTCCCCTCCCTGTGCCTAAAGCTGGTCATTTTCAATGGCTCCCCACAGTTTTCGGTGGAAATATAACATTACAGTGTCCCCTGTTTTTGCTAGAGAAGTTCAGTGCATGAAAGGGGTGTGTTTACTTTTTGGGGTTTACAGTTTCCACTGCAAGTCCTGGTGTAGTACCGTAGAATAAACACTTGACTGCTAATCACAAGGTTGATCGTCCAAACCCATCAGCTCTTCTGTAGAAACCCTATACAGGGTCGCTATGAGTGAGAACAAGGAGCTCTGGTAGCGTAGTGGTTACGAATCAGGCTGCAAACAAGGTCAGCAGTTCGAAACTACCAGCTGTTGCCGGAGAAAGATGAGGCTTTCTGCTCCCGTAAAGATTTACAGCCTCAGAAACCCTGTGCAGGGTCACTATGAGTCAGAACCGACTCGACGGCACATAACCACCAACCACCATGAGCGAGAACCAACTCAACAACCTGTAACAACAATTACAAGACTATTTTCTTGGATTGTCATGTTTACTAAAATTTTTTAAATACAATGAATAGAAAGCTTCTCAAACGCAGGAATGCTATTTTAAGTGATGTAAAAGTTATTCTGAAATGTGCTTCAGTTTTGAGAAGGGTATTAAAATATTAAAGACTCCTGTTACGTTTGACGAAGTCCTGGTGTGGCGCTGTAAGATAAGCAAGATAAGCATGGATTGCTAACCACAAGGTTGACGGTTCAGACCCATCAGCTGCTCCTCGGAAACCCTATTGAGTTTAACTACTCATTCCAGAGCCCTAATGCGTTAAATATTTCAACCATTGTAGAAACATTCTCCTGGCTGAGACAATATGGATGAACAGACTGTGATGTCCCTGATCTCTATGTCCAGAAAATTACACAAATGTATTTTATAATTTCACACAACCGTCAGACTATTGAAGGAGCTGCTGTCTGGTATTGTAGTGGTTATGAGTCAGGCTACCAAACTCAAGGTCAGCAGTTCAAAACTACCAGCTGTTCTACGAGAGAAAGATGAGGCTTTCTGCTCCCGTAAAGAGTTGTTGTTATGTGCATCGTGGAGTCAGTTCCGACCCATAGCGACCTTGTACAGGGTTTTCAAGGCTGTAAATCTTTACGGGAGCAGAAAGCCTCATCTTTTCTCCAGCAGAACAGCTGGTAGTTTTGAACTGCTGACCTTGCAGTTCACAGCCCAATTCATAACCACTACGCTACCAGAGTGCCTCCTGTAAAGAGTTACAGCCTCGGAAACCCTGTAGGGTCTCTATAAGTCGGAACCAACTCCATGGTACACCACCACCACCACCTTCAGACTATTTGGCATCCTGGTGTGGCGCTGTGGGATAATGCACTGGACTGCAAGATTGGTTTGGACTGGAAGGTTGGCAGTTCGAATTCACCAGTCACTCCT